CATTATGAGGCCTGGGTTCAAATTCCGAATTGAATATATATCAGAGTGGCCTCAAACCTTCCTTGCCTTAGTATCCCCAGCCAGATTATTATATGAAACAAATAGTATGTTCTTACAGAAACAATAGAAACATGGTAGATACAAAGATACAATCAGTTTCACCTACTATACAGTATTTGGCTTTACCAGCTAAGCTGTCTAAGGGTACTTGTTTTTACTAGAGATGAGAAAAATATTCTAATTTAATAAGCCATTAATAAAATATAATCTACAGAGATAGATGCATATATGCATCACATACATATTAAATGCTTCCATATGATGCTGCAGATAAGAAACAAAAGACAATAGTGTAGAAAGAAGTGACATGAGTACCATATATATAATATAGCAGGAAATCATTAAATTAAAAATATTTTGGAAATTAAAAAGTCTATGCCTCATTACTTGTATGACTGTGGACAAATAATAAAGATCTCAGGAATGGACATGTAGTTTAGTAGTAGAGTAGTTGCTTTTCATGTGTGAGACCCTGGGTTTAATTCCCCACACAGCCAAAAACAAACAAACAAATCACTCTGAGGATGATTCTCCTTAGATGTAAAAATGAGGTCAGCAGGTTGGAAAAGACACAGTAGTTCTTGGACCTGTGGTTGTTTTGTTAGCTGTGGTTTTTTTGAGTCTTGCAAACTTTAGAAGAACTGAAATGTCCAGACAAAGACATGATCTGGTGCTATACATTTTAACTTTCCACTTTCATTCCAAAATGCTATAGGGACTCCTAAACTAGAATAACTGCAGAAAATAGTCTTCACAGCCAGAAAATAGGGGAGAATGCTCTACATAATCCATGCACTTAAAGAAATTCCTGAGAAGAGGAGCCACTGAGCCAGAGGAGGGGTAGGAACATCAGGCTGCAGAGGAAAAGCCTGAGGCCAGCGGAGAGAAGATATCAGCACATGGTGACTGGACAACTACACCTGGCCTCTTTTGACCTCAGCTTTGTCCTGACTCTGGAAATACTGGCTCTCTCGCCATCCAAGTAAGATTTACACTTCATTTACACTTCTTCACATATCCAACAATCACTTATACACTATCAACCATTTATACACTATCTGACAGGTCTCTGTGATGAACAATAACATTTTAGCTAGGTATTTATTCAGAATGGAAGTAGAACTGTCAGAAGCTTGGGAATGAGCTTAATACACACTTTATGAGGCTGGCCTGAAGAAAGTAACAAAACCTCACTAAGGGACATAAAAGAGAAGTGATATATCCTGAAATAAAATACATAAGCAAAAACAGGAGTGTGATGTCAACATTAGCAACTGCTTCAGGGGCCCAGGAGAACTCTCCCAGAGATCCTCTGCCATGTTGAGGCCACTGGGGTACATCTGACTTGCTCAAGGGTCCTATGGAGCCAGGGATTTAACCTAGGTCAACTTGGTAGCCCTTACACAAGTCAAACAAAAATCCCAAGAACGTTTGACATATAAAGATGTATTTGAAATGTACCATGTAGAAAACAAACACTAAAAACAAGTGAACAAACATTTTCACTAATGATCGAAAGTGAGGTTAAACTGATCCTCCAGATCTTAAAACCAATGAAAACAAAGTGATCCTAGAATAGTATACACAGAAAACCCCAAAATGGACCCAAGTTTATGGAAGAGGTGAAATTTTTTCAACTGGTAGTTAAAAATTACTTAGTAAAAAATGTTGGAAAAACTTTCAGCAGTTGGAGGGAAAAAAAGAGGAATCTTGATCTTATACCCGAAATTGGAATAAATTCTAGAAGAAAAAATGGTCAATCAAATTATGATTAATGATACTGTATTTCTGACTATCATATAGAAAATAGAATTCAGATCCTTGTATGATAAATATCATAGCCAAGTAAAATAAGAAGTATGAGAATAATTCAATGAACTAAAATCTTTTGAAAAAAATCTTTTGAGGGGAACTGTTCCTAGCAGAGCTCCAGGGCTACTCCTGACCCCCCTGCGAAGAAGCTCCAGCTTGGGGGAACATGTGGCACAGGAATCAAACCAAGGACTGAGTATGTGCTCAGACTATTGTGCTCTCTCTCTCTCTCTTTTGCTCTCTATCTTGCTCTCTCTTTCTCTGTCTCATCTATCTTTCAAATCTCTTATATGCATTTTATGGTATTTGCAGGTAAAAGAAAAGAATATGAAGATCTCAATAATGGCTATAAAGGACATTCCCCACTTGTTTTCAAGGAAGAGTTGGACTTCCTTGGCATGATCTTGTTTCCAAATAATGAAATTAAGAAAAAGACTATCCAGGGAGCTTTTAGGGAATCATAGAGCTAACACTACAAAAATGTATTATGATAGTATTAAAATTAACATTAGCTAATTAGTTAATTAATTGGCTAATTAATTAACTAATTAGTTAGCTAAATAGCTGATTAATTAATTAGTTGACTAATTGGCTAATTAGTTAATTAACATTAACTATATGCTAAAAAAGAAAACTATGCAATTTGTTATAACTTGCAAACTGATGAAACTGATGAAACTAAGAAATCTTTAAGCACAATATATTTATACTGCACACCATATAGATTGAACTGAATCCGTAATCCAGAAACAGTAGGCCAGATTCTGTGTTTTTAATCAGTTATTTGACCTTAGCAAGTTATCTCACCTCTCAGAATCTGTATTATATGGAGAATGGAAGAAATTAAAATCACTTTCTCACCGAGAAATAGCTTGTCCACCTTTTCCTATAGGCTGGTAATGTTAAGAATATGTCAGCAAGTTACCAAGCTTGCCAAGATATAGACCCATAGGTTAGGTCAAGCATAATTTAGGTCAAATAGTCCACATTATATATCACTTCTAACAAAAATCGAATCTATTCTTTCTTTGTTATGGGGAAATAAAAGTAGTTAAGGTACAAAAAATTAGATTCAAAGTCCAGTTCAGAGAATGACCAATTTGAATTTGCATAAACAGAAAGGGTGTGAAAGTTTAGGTATTCTTAGGTAATCATAAATCCATGATCTCTCTGTGCCCTCCTCAACTTCCCAGAGACTATGCACAGCAGCAAGCACACAACATATCCAGAAATGGGGGTGGAGAGATAGTACAATGGGTAAGATACTTTTCAAGATGCCTACCAGATTCAATCCCTAGCATTCCATATGGTCCCCAGAGCCCCACCAGGAGTGATGGCTGCACACAGAGCTGGGAGTAAGTCCTGAGAACTACCAGGTAAAGCCCCCAGATACATATATCTGATATATAGCTGCAGGATATGCATGATCTTTGTTCGTTGGTCAAACACTTGGGCAGGAAGCTAGTGCAGTATGTATGAAACAGCACGAGACAGCTTGGCATTGTAAGAGGATGTGAAGAACATATAAGAGGCATGTTTTCTCTTAATAAAATATTCTGCTAAAAGGATGCTGTTTTATAAACTCTGAGCAAGAGTGGAGCCTTGCATATAGCTTCTATGCTAGAGACACTTTCTCAGAGTGTTTTCAAATCCTTGACCAATATTGAAGGATAGACACACTGGTTTCTTGGGCTTCAGTATTCTCTGATAAACAGAAGGAGTAAGGTACAGTGGAAAGAAAATAGAGCCTACATGTAGTGGGGTTCTGCTTAGGATCCTTAGAAACATAAGATGTCTTCTGTTCTCTATTAGTTCATAAGGAAAAATAAACCACTTTATTCAAATGAGGTTTCTGTGCATCTCAAGTGGTATGCATGCAAATAATAGATATAGTTTAAGGGAGAATCAGAAAACACAGAAAGTTCCTATATAGAACTATTTTGACATAGAAGAAAAACCTACACAGAAAAAACAATGGGGGCTACCTCAGATTTCTGGGCAGTATCAAGTCCAGAAAATCTTTATCCTTTTAGACCTATTGCTGATTCTAGAAGAAGGTTACAGTATAAAATTCCTCCTTCCTTGTACTTGCTTTCCCTCCTTTCTTTCTTCCACGTTCCCCCTGGTGCTTCTCTCTCATGGCCACATCACATTCTACAAACCAGACAGTGTCATTAACCCAGGAATCAGTCACCCCACTTCCTGTATCCAATTCTGCAGAAAAATGACATGTTTCTGTTAGGTTAGAATAAATAATATGTCTGTTAGGTTTTATTCCCATGTGGTAAAACCCCAAATAATATTTTTGTAAGTCTAGATCTAATCCTATTACATCAACAACATTTTTCTACACCTGGCTCAAATTTCCTTTCATTTTGTGGTACCATAAAGCCTCTTTCTATTCTTGTCTTGGTAATTACTGATGATAATATTTCAGGTTCTTACATCTCCCAAAGTGTACTTATTATATCTCTGAAAGTTTAACCTGCAAAGTAAATCTTATTTAAATAATAAAAAAAATGCACGCTCTTATAGTCCCCTGAGCAGTAAACCCTGAGTACCACTGGATATGGGCCAAAAACAGAAAGAAAGAAAGAAAGAAAGAAAGAAAGAAAGAAAGAAAGAAAGAAAGAAAATTAGGAGGAAGGAAGGAAGGAAGGAAGGAAGGAAGGACGGAAGGAAGGAAGGGAGGGAGGAAGGAAGGGAGGGAGGGAGGGAAGAATGAAGGGAGGGAAAGAGAGAAGGAGGAAGGAGGGAGGAAGGGAAGGAGGGAGGGAAGGAGGAAAAAGAAACACACTCCTCCAAATTTTGTTTGGTAATATTTTGTTTACACGTAGTTGAACCAAGTCTAAGATTTTCCTTAGAATGATTTACTTCATTTATAAAATTTCACCAACATCAGGAAATTCTGTCAAAGTCATTACAGAATAAACAAGCAGAAGGTTCATGATACAAAGTTTAAGACAAGTAAAGAGACAGAACTATGAGATTAACATAACCTACTGATCAAAGCCAGACTAGGCACAAATATCAGAATTACTCAAGAGAAAATGGTCTTTTTGGTCATATATATATATATATGTATATATATATATATATATATATATATATACAGGGAATATTCTTACCTATCTTCTGTCAGCTTCATTAATGTTGTTCCTCGAGTAGAGAAGACAATAAAGGACATTCTTAGTTGTGGGCTAGAAAGCAAAAGAAATTCTGTTAGGGCAGGTAGTACACTGAAATGCCATCTTCTTTCAGATTTCCCACTAGCTCTTCATTGTATATCATGACTATTAGAGATTAGAACCCATAAGCTGGAGAACAATTCCAGGAAGGTGTGAACCAAAAAGACTTGCTTTGCCTTCTTGAAGGCTGCTTCTGATTTGACACCATCATTCAGTAATTGTAACTAGCAAAAAAGAAACTGAAATTCATCACTGCCCTGTGATGTGAGGAACGGGCTTTTTTTTTTTAAAAAAAGGACATGTCTGTAGTGGGGATCTCAATGACACAATTTGACAGTATCTCCAGTGTAGAGAGAGATGCACCAAAAATGAAGAAAGCTTTCATACTGTTAAAGTTCGTCTCAGCTATGAATATAATACAAACAACTTTTTTTCTTTCTTTCTTTAAGTTTTAGTCAGTTACCATGGATTACAGAGTTATTCTGATTAAGTTTCAGGCATTCAATCTTCCAACATCAGTTCTTTCACCAATGTCTACTACTTCCCTCTACCAATTTCCCTCTTACCCATCAGTCTGCCTCTAAGGAGGTACCATTATTTTTATATGACTTTTAGCACTGTGTTTTACAGTACCGTTACTGCTAGGGTTTCATGCATAATACTTTACTACCTTTCAGCACCATTTCTTTTCCCGGCTGACTATTTCCCTCCACCATTGTAGCACTTTCTTCCCTGCCATATTTCTACCCCATCCCATGCTTCCTACTGAATATCAGTTCTCCCATTCTTTAAACAAACTTCTTTTGCTCTGAAAGTAGGATCACTATCAACATTTAATTTATACTTGTTTCCCAGGAGGTTGTGCTGTAAGGAGAGAATGTCTGGATGGGTCACAAGAAGTATAACTAATCAGTACAATGAAGAATTTATGCCTTCCTTTTTGTGCCTTAAATTCCTAAAACTTCATTCTGATTGAGTGCAATCTAGCTTTCTGAGGAGAACTTATTTACCACTATCTGTTTGACTTGCACAAAAGTTAAACAATATGTTGTAGTGATGTAATGAAATGACAGTAATAACAATCACAATATCATGTATTATACTCATCAGAATCAATCAATTAATTAGTATAGTTTTTATAGGACAGTGCTTATTGTCACTATAGAGTCTCTACCCTGGAAATCTTAGAGCCACTCTCAGCTACAAACCAGATGTGTTTGTAGCTGCAGGATGGACCTGCAGACTGTAAATGCTTCTCAATGGAATGCCAGTTTAGGAGGTGCTCTCTGTTAGCCAACAGGCTTTTCCTCAGAGCATCATATTTCTTCATAATGCAATAATCTCCCACACTGGTTCTCATTTCAAATATAATTTCCACTTCTCAGAATGTTTCTAAAACCTGATCCTTTTTTTAAATTTCTTTGTTTAGGACCTTGTCCTCAAATATCTGACACTGAAATTATTTCCTAGCTGACCTACTATTATCCTTTGATCCAATTTATTTTTTACTTTGCTTTCAAAACTATTTTCCTAACACATAATGAGATATGGTTACTTATCTGCTTTAAAAACCTAAATGCCCCCTCCTAGTGCAAGATAATACATGCAAGATAATTACATGTGTCTGGGGGCATCTTTAGAAACCTCTAGCATGGTGTTTAATACTTGGTTAATTTAGAATATTAATTTCTTGAAACAGACCAAGGTTCTCTATGACCACATGATTTCTGTTCCTAATCCTGAGAAAGCAAGTAGACTATGTTCTAAATGGCAATTATAACAATCATAATATCAAAATATTAGAATAGTAACAAGTGTTGTATATTATTATGATTTACATACATCTCATTATACTTGGAGCAATTTTATGAGAGCAGTACTGTTACTCATTACTATGTTGACTGAGATCTTGAAAGAGAAAGTAATTTTTCCAGGGTCACATGGAGGCAAAGTGGGGGTCTGGGGTTCAAAACCAAACCTTCTGATACTGGAACTTGGACTCTGAATCAGTATATTATCCTGCCTCTCTTATCTAGAGTTATTTCTGGAAAGAGTAATTTTGAAATATGAGAAATGTAGGCTTCCAAGAGGCAATTAGTATATACACTTGAGCTAGAGATATAATTTGGTAGTTCTTCTAATACTGTTGTGGATAAAATTATTCAAAGAAAATGTTAATAGCTAGAAGGAAAGTAAGCATATCTAAAATCCACATCAACATAAAAGCACTTACTTTGTTCAGTGGGATAAAAAGAGAACCAGAAGCTAATAGAGGAGAGAATTTCAAGAAAAGAGTCCTTTCATCATAAATAGTGCAAGGTGCTCACGGGATTCTTCCTATAAAAACTATATTGATTGGTCCCAAAGAGAGACGAGATCACCGGGAAGTCCCAGATGGGGTAGGTGACGCATTCCACCTCCTCCAGATGGAACCCTGGTGACCATGAGCCTCTACAAGTACAGCTCGTGTATTCGGGAACAGGACTTTCACTCCAAACTGCCGGAATTGCCCTGGCTCCCAGGTAACCTCTGATTCCGGAAGTCACGTCCACAACCCGCCCCCCAGCGCCATCTTTACAGCACACAGTCACAGAGAAGAAAGGCCGAAGTAGGGCTCCACAGCTCCCGGAGAATGCTCCAAGTCCCAAAGAGAGACGAGATCACCGGGAAGTCCCAGATGGGGTAGGTGCCGCATCCTGCCTCCTCCAGATGGAACCCCGGTGACCATGAGCCTCTACAAGCATAGCTTACTTATGCAGGAACCAGGACTTTTACTCAAAACCACACGGCCGCTTATGCGGCTGCGCGACATCTCCTTATATATAAAGTGATCAATGGAAAGTAAATTATTCAACGTTTCTCCCTGAAAATCAGGCTTAACTCTTTTGCAAACCACAACACCCAATAGGAAAGAGAGAACAAAAGAGAATGCCCTACCACAGAGGCAGGATGGGATGGGAGAATGGGGGGTGGGAGGGTTACTGGGATCCGTGGTGGTGGGAAATGGTTACTGGTGGAGGGATGGGTATTCAAAATAAATAAATAAATAAAATTTTAAAAAAACTACACTGATTAATTCATTGATTCTGATGAGTATAACACATGATATAGTGATTATTATTACTGTCATTTCATTACATCACTACAACATATTGTTTCAATTTTGTGCAAGTCAAACAGATAGAGGTAAATAAATTCTCCTCAAAGAGCTGAATTACACTCAACCAGAGTGAAAAGTTTTAGGAATTTAAGACACAAAAATGAAGGCATAAATTCTGCATTGTACTGATTAGTTATACTTCTTGTGGCCCATCCAAACATTCTCTCCTTAGAGCACAACCTCCTGGGAAACAAGTATAAATTAAATGTTAATATCCACAGATTCTAGGTTTTGTTTTCGAAAGCCATAAGGAACATTTTCTAACTTTTCTCCTGTAATCAGGCAAGAATGTAGCTAGATCTTAAGACCGTAGCACTGTCCTCCCCTTGTGCATAGATTTGCTCAAGCAGGCACCAGTAACTTCTCACAACAAATTGTGAGACTTGTTATTGTTTTTGGCATATTGAATACAACACAGATAGCTTGCCAGGTTTTGCTGTGTGGGCAAGATACTCTTGGTAGCTTGCCGGGCTCTCCGAGAGGGGTGGAGGAATCAAACCCGGGTCGGCCTCATGCAAGGCAAACGCCTTACTCACTGTGCTAAGACTAATAAACGAATTTAGAGTGAACACATCTGCCAATAGCATGGGTTAAACGGAAAATCTGAATTCTGAGATAAAGAACTTATTCAAAGAAGATGTGTACTGAAAATTCTATGGAGGCAAGCAGCAGGAATGGAGCTAAGCTGGAATTTATATCATCAGACTAATTTAGCAAACTTTGACAAGTGACTTCAAGCACACCTAAGAAAGCTATCACAGTTGTATTATCCCTGGAAATTGTAACCAATAAGGGTAAAATTATCAATTTTCCTTTAGTGGATGTTTATTCTTAACAGGAACTAGTCATGCTAATGACTTATAAGTGGTGATGTTCAAACTTCATTGTTCTTCCTTCAAAAGTTAAATGTGCTCAGAGAATTCTATCTGATTAGGCACATAGCTAAGCTGACTAACCATCATACTTTTCCCAGTCCCAGAATATGAGACTTTGGATGCTAAAATCAAGAAAATTCTATGCAAATCAGGATGAGTTGAACACCTTACATACTATATACCTTACTATGAGTCCAAATAAAATGAGGCAACTGTCCCAGCACTATGAAAGAAAATGTTAATGGTCATTCTACAGGCATTTATTATTCAATAACAGAGTGGAAGTTAATCGACTCATAACAAAAATGGGTTCCCCCTGAAAATGCAAAGCAAAACTTACTCTAATTTGTGTGAAAGATTAAAGCAAAGTCAACTTTCTGGTCCAAGATCTAAGAGTTCACTTTTTTCCCTAAAAAACATGCCCCAAGTTATCAGTAAGCAGCATTAAGGTAGATAAAGTTTAGTTTTATTCACAGTTGAGAAATATGCACGTGTTTCTCACCTGATGAATTTGTGAGCCAGCTGTTCCACAAAGTAATATATTTCATTCCAGTGATGCAGTACACTTCCTGATCTGGAAAGACAAAAGCAGATGTTGCTTACTTGGGGAATCACTTGTCTTTACTTTGTATTATTTCTTTTCATATATACTATTTTACACTTAACACATGTATTGACTGGGTTTATTTGAAATTTAGGAAATTATTTGAAAGATTATTGAAAGATGTGAGAGCTCTTAGAAATGGTGACAACTCTCCCTGTTGTATTTCCTACTTTTTTCCATCCTCACTCCAAATACTCATAAATCCCATCCTTTCATCTCTACTCCAAAATTCAAACTCAGATTCATAAGCTAGTTTCAAGTATTTAAAAAAGTTATTTTGGGGGGGGTTATAAAGTGTTATTCTGATTATGGAACAATTCCAGTTAATTTAAACATATTTCCAATCCATTTAGTAAAAATTAGCATGAACTAATTTGTTTGTTAGATGCCCTAACAAACAAAAATAATCAAATGCCCCTTCTCAATAAAGAACCTAACATCATTTATAAATTCAAATGTAAAATCTTTACCTAGGTGAGACAGTGCCCATGGAAAACAACTGTGAAAGTGCCAATAGAATAGTGAACTCAGACTGACTGCAAAGGGGAGAGAAGGGCTGTTGGAACACTTGTAGGGGGTGAGTAGCACTGAGGGTGAGTGGTGAAGTGGTGAAGTAGCACCGAGAGTATGAAACAATAATATAAAGACTGTTGTAAACTGTTTTATCCCAATAAAATAACGAAAAATTAAAATGTTAACAAAACAAATCCATAGAAATACAAAATAGTAAAACATTATTATTATATAAAATATATTATTTTAGGAATATATTTATAGTTCAACATTCAAGGAAATAAATAAAAGGTAGAGCTGTATAGACTTTCATTATATTAAAAAGGAATCCTCGTACTGGCAAAGAAAAAAAGAAAAAAACTGTTTCTCTAGAATGTATGGGTCCTAGAATTTTCTATGTGGAAGGGTCCTGCTATAACGCCTAAGATTGGCTTCTTTTACCAGTAACTACTTGCATCTACTTGGGTTCTGCTTACACACACTTTCCATACTGCTTGTTCTCATTCTGTTTTAGTGACTTCATACTAGAATTTTTCTGGTGTAGGCCACTCTTTTCTATAGCAATATTGCCTGTTTCTTTTCACTTATGGGCCCATTTCTGCTGAGCTCTGCATTTCTGCCTGTCATTCTAATACTTGTTGAGGTTCAAGTTTACCTCTTCTCTGACATTTTGTGCTGAAACTATTTTCCATTGGTCTCCCAAAGTCAGAGTTTTACTTCTTGCACTCATTTACCTAATTTTACCCTCCAGAGGGTTACTCATTTCTATTTTTCCTTCTTTTCACATGATCCTATAGATTTAAGATCACCAGTACAATGCAGAATTTATGCTTTCCTTTTCTTGCCTTAAATCTCTAGAAATTCTCATCCTGCTTGAATGTAATGGAGCTCTCTAAGGAGGATTTATTTACCTCTGTCAGATTGACTTGAACAAAACTGATGCAATGTATCACCATAATGTAATAAGGAACTTTGTATCATAAGGATTTCTCACTTCCCCCAGTTAATCTTCAACATCCTTCTAGGAAAAAGTCTCGAAGGATGCTTGGAAACTCAGAAACTGACTTTATAAATGAGATGAAAATTAATGATCTAAAAATAATCAAAACCATTATGAAAAAGTATAAAGTAGGATAACTTTCCTATAAGGATATAAAGACCCCCAAGTGTTTTTGTTAGGTGATATAAAAGTCAAGTCAATTAAAAAGAACAGGGAGCCCAAATCTCAGTTTAGGTGAGGTGTTGTAAGGTAGTTAAATGGATAACTCAAGTTAGAGAGGGAAGATTAATTTTTTTTAGGCAGGGCTCCTAAGCAGTGCTCAGAGGGCAAAGGAGATACTTTGCCAACCAGCATGAGCAATTCAGTGGTAGTGCCTGGTGGTGCCGGGTAGGTGAGAGGCATGTGTTGCCAGAGATTGGATTTCGGGTTTTGTGCATGCACCCTTGGCCCCTGAGTTACCTCCCTTCTTTGACAATAGGTTTCTAATTGGAAAAAGCCAATTAGATGATTAAGGTATACCAAATGTAAACTTAGATGTATTTTAAAAAGGAGAGCTGGGGCCAGAGAGATCGTACAGAGGACAAGACACTTGCCTTGCATGCAGCTGACCTGGGTTCAGTCTCTGGCACCATATATGGTCCCCTCACAACCACCCCCCCCCCCAGGAGGGATCCCTAAGTACAGAGTCAAATCCATGTACACTACTGGGTATGACCCCAAAAGGATAAAGAAAAAAATCACAAGAAACCTAATGAGAAAAACAAAACATTGAGTATACTAGATATATTACAGGAGACTGTTGTATTGTCTTCCCTCCCGACTCCACACACGTAACACCTGAAACCACTGAAGAGAAGAAAACAGACAGTAAGTTACTTGACAACAGCCTTAGAATTGTCTTTGTAGAGTCATCTCCAGCATTATAGGAAACAAAACAAAAGAAGTATATAGACCCAGCTACTTCAAACTAAACAGCTTCTGCATAGCTGAAGATATAGCCAAAACCAAAAAAAAAAAAAACCCTACAAAATGGTAGAAGATACTTGCAAATCATATAAACAACAAGGAATTAACATTCAAAATATATAAACAACTCACAAAACTCAACAACAAAACAAGCCAAGGGCAGAGAGAGCCAGGAAAATAGCTGAAATGGCTGGGATATATGTTTTGCAAGAAGAAACCCTATGTTTGCCCTATGTTTGATCCCTAGAACAACCTGGTCCCCTAAGCACTGCCAGAAATAATGCCTAAACACTTGGCTGGGAATAGCCCTCAAGCACCATTGGGTGTCATCCATAAACAAAATTAAAGAAAAATAGGCAGAAAATCTAAATATTTCACAAAAAAATAGATATACAGCTGGCCAACAGACAGGAAGCTCATTATCACTTATCATTAGGAAAATGTAAATCAAAACGACAATGTTTATAAAATAAAACCAAATGAACAATTAGAAAAAACAAATGCTGAGGCCTGAGAGATAGCACTGAGGATAAGATGCTTGCTTTGCACATAACTGAACTCGGTTCCATCTCCAGAAGTGCATATGGTTCCCCAAGTATAGTCAGGGTAATCCCTGAGCACAGAGCCAGGAGTAATCCCAGAGTACTTCTTTGTGTAATCCAACCCTTTCCCCACTACACCACATTTTAAAAATACTAAATATCAATTAGTACCAGGACATTCTCTATAGAATCTGATGCAAAACGAAAATTTAGGACTTCTTATTCAAAATTGATTCAAAAATTCAAGATGGTAACAGAAGAGCAAAATACTTAATTGCTGGTCTTGGGAGACTTCATAGGCTCCACATTCCTCAACATGATTTCTCTGCCTATTTTCTGTTTGGATGCAAATGTTTTCTTAGTACATGGTTCAGTAAACTTTTCTGTAGAGGGCTAGACATGACCTATTTCAGGCTCTGAGGGCTGTAGTCTCTATGGGAAATACTGTCAACTCTCCTGTCATAAAACAAAGATAGCATTGATTGTACATGAACAGAATGAGTGTAGTGATGCTACAAAAAAAAATTTGTTTATAAAAACAGGCTCCAGGCTATAGTTTGCTAACAACTTTCAGTACTCCTCATGACAAGATAATATAAAAACCAAACTTTTTTTCTTGGTAATTGAAGTTGTAGTGTACTTTGCTACTTGTGTATTGCTGAAAATGTAGACTGAAAAATTGTGTCTTTATATGTGTACATGCATTTTATTTTATAGACATTTGAAAGGAAAGTTACTCGTGGGGTATAGAATTTAACATGTATTTATTGAATCAACTTCATTCACTATTATTTGTATGTGCTATTCCCTCTGAACATTTAGGTATTCCAAGAGACGTCTTTTCAGATTCTGTTGAAAAAATAATTTGTTTTTCGTCTTATTTTAATTGATATTGTGAAAACTGAAGCACTCATATTTTTAGGATATGTTTTCTTAATCTTGGCATAATATTCTTTTACTACAATTAGTTTTATTTTAATGATATATTTCAGATTTAAAATTTTAATTCAAATTTACTTAGAAGTTTGGCATAGGAATGTGTTATCTTTGGTAGATATTTTTATTCTTTTTTAGGACCATTGATTTAAAATACAGTTAATGGGGGTATGGTGCCGCCAGAAGGTCAATCTGTACCTGTGAGGTAAGTGCATGAGCAGCCTGATGTCACCATCAGACTTTCAGATACCCCAAAATTGGTGCTGTGCCTTTTGCCAGACCCAAAAAACTTGGGGCAAAGTTTACCAAGAAAGTAAATGGCCAAAAGTTAGGTATGTGGGAGACACACCCACAAATCACCTCCGGCTCAGCTATATAATTAGAGGCATGGCCTCTCTGTTCCTGATCGAACTGCTTAACGGCCAATATCCCAGAGACTCAGAAACAAATGTCGGAACCCAAAGGCTTTTGGCAGAAATGTGTCCTGTTCCTGCAGTAGGTTACTGGCGCTGGGCCACTCCAGGTGGGAATAGGTTTGGTGCCTTGGCCTGTTCCCCCTGGTGGCCCGGTGACCGCCATCCTCCAGAGGTCACTGGACAGCCAGGTTTGGGTCTGCAGTGATGAGACACGCAGGGTCTCACCAGATGGGGGTGTAACTGGCCCTTTCCTCCCCATCCCAACGAGACCCCAAGTCGCTACCTACAAATGGCCTCTCTGGCTCCTGATCAAGCTGATTAATGGCCATGATCTCAGAGACTCAGAAACAAATCTCGAAACCCCAGCGGCTTTTGGCAGCAATGCATCTGGACTGCGTACAAGGTGGCTGTTGTCTCAGAGCTTATTGGAAAGCCAGGTATGAGCCAGCAGTGACGGGGCAACTGCAATCTCATGGGAAGGGGGCGGTTCCGGCTCATCCTTCATGCCCTACCGAGGTCATGAGTTACCCCCCACAAGCGCTCTGCCACAGCAATGGCTCCAGAGGCAAAAGGACTTAATCCAGAGCCTGGCAGCTT